CGCAAAACGTCATTAATCCAACCCAGGTTGGTGCAAACCCGGTCGGGCCGAAAACGCTATTAGTAAACATGTTAGCACATGTTACGAGATGTGGAGTGCGTTTTGGGTTGCTTAGTAGACAATCATAAAAATGTTTGCAAAATTGTCGTTATGCTGAACGCAACCACGTTTTTGTAAAAAAGTAGTCAACGTTACTGGTTAAATAACCACTATATAGTGCCTATCGAGCGCTTGCTGCCCTATGACTCCTATTAACTGTACCGTAATGTCAAACTGCTGTTTTCAACACAGTTATAGTAAGTCTGTGGTAAGTAGTAATTCTATTGACTAGATTAACTAAGAATAATTATTATTTACATTGGCTTTGTTTCCATATTCACTGTTAGTACTGATCTATGGCACAAGTGATGTACACTATAGATTTTCAGTATTGGCAGTGAACATCATAACACAAGCAACGATATTCTATTACTACTGTTATATACAATATATACAAGTATTTACAAGTTCCTAAATTAGTCAATAAGTTAATTATTATTTTTGGGTACACAAGACCCTATTGTATAAACTTCCCTCATGTGCCTTATCCTGCCTCAAATTCTTTTATAAGAAATTATAGACAGTCCTTAATTTATATTGCAAATTGGAATTAACAAGGTACAAACGGCAAATTGGCTAGTACTGGAGATGTACAGGTGCTATTGCAGAGTTATGAATGTAGTCATTTCAATCATTATCACAGATTTATGATAGATCAAGCAGAACTGCTGAGGCTAAATGAGATCGAATATGATTGAGATCATTTTACCAATCCACATTCAATCACAATTCAACCACAACTTACATGATCCTGAGATGCTGGACTGAAGAGTCACTTTTGTGATCCAGGATTCCAATTTGCGTCCTTATGTAAATTAAACCTATTAAAAACCTTATTGATTATATAATTTATTCGTTAATATAAATTACTTGTATATTTTTTTTTTAGACAATGGCCAATATTCAGTCGGTCAGAAGACAGTTTTAAGTAATGTCTTATAATGGTTTTTGGTTGTCAGCCGTCGATATTACTTAAAACTGTCCTGTAAGATTCGATTATGAATACCACCCAAGTCTGTTTTTTAAGAAAACTTTTTTTTAACTCTTTGGTTTACTAGCTGTGAAACGCAGTTTAATTTTGTACTTTGTATCAGTCTATATACACTATTGAATAAAGATTTTTATAATTAAACTATGTTGACCTATTCTAACTTACCAGATTAGGAACAGGAAGCGTTTTCTTCACCAGTATCAGACTACTAGAGGCGTTTTCTCGTTACCCAGAAGCTACCATAACTAAGGCTATTTTCGTCTTCAGGGATCAGAAGATCGCCTTAGCATGGTTGCTTCTGGTTGCGCAACGAAAAAACGCCACAGATCCTGTACCTCTAGTATGAGGATCCGAAATGCTCATCTATATTCTATTCTTATATAGGAATTGTATCGAAAACAAGTGCTTTCGGGAACTGAAGAATCATTCGCATTACTAATTTGATTTCCGAATTCGATGAAGACAAATTTGATAATAAGTTCTATTTAAAGGCGAAGAATTAAAGTTATGCAATTTGCTAAAATTTTATAAATCAATTAACATAGGCATAATATAACTTTGACAATTAATTTAAATAATCGCTTAAATACAAAGTGATAGACATCACGTGGCTGATAATTAAACTAAAGTTTAACTTGCGAGCGCTATACTTACGTACCACAATCACATGTTCATACAAAGGATACGTGATATCATTTCATCCTTGTCATCAAACATTAAACAAAGATGAGATGATATGATTACGCGAACATTGCAAACGTGTGTTAAGTGGAACATACCTCTAGTGCGTATATAACAAAAAATAGGTTTGAATGTGGTAAGTTTATTATTAATATATACAATAAAATACACACAGAAAGAGAGAGAGAGAGAGATGCCTGAGTAAAGTCTGCGGCACACGA